TTAAATAATCATTTAAGAGTTAGAATAGTAAGTCTAAATACACTTAGATTTCATGTCCTAACGATTATAAGTCGGATTGTAAAGTGCATTCCTCAAATCAAAATTTAAGTAATTTAATGTTTATAAAAAATTATTTTTTTATAATTAAGATTTAAGTTTTTAGTTTAAATTGTATATTACAAATATAATTTATTCTATAAATTTATTTAAATACCTCTAATAAAATTATTTTTTATATTTATTTAATAAAAACATTTAAATAAATTCATAATATAGACTATACTTTTAATATATAATTTATTTTATAATTATAGGTGTAACTATTAAAGAAAAATATATAATACTTTTTTATTAAAAAAATGTTGCAATTCGAGCTAGAAAGGTCAAGCCGAATATAACGGTCGGAAATCGGAAGGCCTTTCTCACGTGGGAATCATGTGAGCCTTAAATTTACTTCCGTCTGATTTTAGGGCTTATTATATTCAAGTATTTTTGACTTTTGACTTCGGAGGAAATCGCCAACGGCTCTCTGCTTTCTCCTCTCTCCTTTCCTCTCCTTTTCTCCAACGGGGCCGAACGGCACCGGACAACGTGCTTTCCGCCGGCCGGCTCTTCCACTGCCCACCGAGTTAACGTTAGGATGAGATATTTGGACACCAGAACAATGAATTCTTGATGCCTCCTAGAACAGATCCCGATTCGCCGATAGGTGTTCCTAGGTGCCAGTGCGGCAGTGCCCTCCGCTTCTCCCATCCGGATCCATCTTTGGCTTCTCCATCACTGATAGGTCTAAGGGAGAGGCGATTTCATATTCGAGGAAAGCTAGTGAAGCGATGGGGATAAGCTTCATCCTCGAGAGGGAGACGGCTCGGATCACCAGCTAATACAATGAACGCTCCTCTATGAAGGTGAGAAAGGTGCAGAGCCACCCACAAGGCACGAAATCATCTCTGTTTTATATGCATTTGATTTCATCAAATTCTGGATATGTTATTTTTGGTAAAGATATTGATGACTAAAGATATTGATGACACTAGATCTCCCCTGCATCACTAATTCAATGACTCATACGAATGTTCCGTTTGCTTGAATTCTCATGTGAATTTCTTTCTTTCTTTCACTTTGCAATTTGCATCGCAGAACAGTCATAGACTGAGAAATTATTTACTGATTTAAAATTTCTTCTAATTTCTAAACATTTCTTTTGTGGAATCCTTCAATTGGAACAAAGAAATCTGCTCTGCTTTCCTTGAAGAAAATTTTTTCATTAGGTGGCTCTTAACCATGTCACTCTTTGATGATATCTGGTCTCTAAGCAAGCAGCAAACAATAAAAAGTGCAGAAATATTCTCACAACGTTACTTGTTTAAAGAATTTAAAATGATATCTAAAGTTATAAGTTATCAGCATGAGTACATCTGGCTAAGACTAAAAGAGAAAAGTTTGAAATTTTATTAAGACTCAAAGAAGATTGCCTTTTGTTTCCAAACAGGGTGTAACATGTTGAAGTATTTTGTTAAAGTCCAATTAGTCTTAATTTCCGAAAAAGGATTTAAAGCATGTATAAAGGAGATGAATAATAAAGGGAGTGAAAAGAGTGGCAAAGGATAAACAAAAACATGTGGAGGATTTGGAGAGAATTTGAGGTCTGCCCATGTGCACAAAAGGGTAACTCAGTCTTGGTAGTTTGAGGAGAAGGAAGATAATCTGAAATGTCTGTGTGATGTTAGAAAGGGAAGATGAGGTGGAGATATCATGGGATTATCCCATTTGGGTTTATTTTTGCTTAAAATCTCGTTCAATTTAAGTTTTGAAATCTTTCTAGGTTCAAATAAAATAGTTATTTCTTGATACTTTTCTTTTTCCTTTTGCCATTTCTGGGATTCTATGTATTGAATTCTTTGTTAAAACCTGTTGATGTTGTAAAAGTGCTGTTTAATTAAACCATGAAATTGAATTGCCTGGCAATTGATGTGCATTTGAATTTTCAATTCTCCAACCATGCTTTTGTACTTGCAAATTAAATGTGAATTTCATTATGTATCATTTTGTGTATGAAATGCTCAAATTCATGTCATAGTAAAGGTGCTTCCATATGGTCAGTTGTGCATGTGATTAACCATTAGCATGTTTAGGCTGAAGTAGACCAAAGGCAGAAGTCATTATATGCCTCATTGAGCAAATACGAGTAATAGCTAGATAAAGTAGATTCTAAGGCACGTGATGTTTTTGGAGGGATGGTGTCCGTGAATCATTATAAGTTGAGGCAATATTTAATCAAGAGAGTTTGAAATGCAAATCTAGATTGGAGTTTTCTATAATTCAAGGGCTAGCAGTGTATTTTAGAAAGTTTGTTAGGAGATATTCATTGGTTTAAACTTTGACTTGCCTAATGCCAAGAGTATAAAGTTTCACTCATTAGACCAATGAGTAGAATTAGGGCTTTTAGATGTTGAAGGAAAGGTTGATCGCAGTTTTTTTAGTACCCCAACGCTTTTAAAAGCTTCCCAATTGCATATGAAACCTCTGACTGTGGTCTCTATTTTTAGGTAGAATGGAAGAATGACAGCATGTTAAGGGTGCACAAAGTAATAAGTGGGAAGCATTGTTGCTACCTTTTGGGCTTGCCTAGTATTGGTATTTAGTAGATCATATCTTAATCTTTGAAGCCTGAGATTGATCTAGAACCTACCACATTAAAGAGGACATCTATGCAGGTTTTGATTTAGATTAAATAAGGTCCGTACCCCTAGCTGAAACAGAAACTGCTGCCCAAACAGAATACTCTCTCACAAAAGGAACAGTCAATCTGTTTTTTTGTCCATGTTTAGTTTGATTATAACATCAGGATTTAGATGACCTTTGTTGGGGGACCAAAGCTTTGTAGAGCTTGAATGAAAAGAGTACTTTCAAGATTTGCTGTTGGGTGTTTGATAGGTTACATAGTTAATGTTGTGCACATCCAATACCCATACGGTTGCTTTAGTTGTTTCCTTCTCTTTCAGTAGTAAGAACATATCACTATAGAATTTATTTGTCATTGGGTTTACCGTGAAACTGAAGCAAGTCATGATAGATGGAAAATTAGTTACCTTTTAGAGCTTAGATGCCATGTCACAAAGGGAACACTGATTAGAGAATTTATTAGGAGTCTCACTCAGTTTTTAGTTTGGTAAAGTTACCATGGTGAGATAGTCTTAGGTGCCCCAACTCTATTAAATCTGACTAGGCTCACATCTGTTTTCTAGGCTTAGTTTCTGGAGTGTTTAGTTTGTTATAAACTGTACAAGTTTTCAATACTAGATAGATAAAACATTAGTTACCTTTCAAAGCTTAGATGTTATGTCAAAAGTATCTTGGATTTAGTGGGCAATCTGGGATGTCAAATTTGTTAATTGTTCATTCATACACAATTAAAACAATTAGCTAGGGGAGTATCACCTTTGTTTTCATATGAGATGTAGTGGTCGGCATTGAAGATATCTAGTCTGTTGGAATGTCTGCAAAAGTTTCGTCGTTGAAGAACTTATAAAATAAGATGTATTTCAGAGCTCCTATCATGAATTTTAGGTGTAGCAATTGCCAATCTTCAGTGTAGTTATCTTTTTATCCATAGAAAGTTTGAGCATACCAATTTAGTAGAGTTTGGATTCATTGTAGGTGTTGTGAGATCTAGGTGTTAGAGTGAAGTTGGGACTAGTGATGAAGTTGAAATTTGTATTCCTGATCTGCCCAAGATGGTGGTAATCTGTAAGTTTGTGCCCAAGATTTGGGACTAGGCATCCATGTCATACTTGTATGGTTCTTCAATTCATAGCATACATGGGATTTGAGGGCAGGACCTTTAGTCTAACCATGCTTCGGGTTGATCACATGCACGACCAGACCAGCATTTGAGCGTTTCATTATATATTATGATGCATGAAGGAAAGTTATATTTGATTATGCGTGTGCAAAACTTGTTGGACTTTTGGAATTCATTGTTATCCTATTCCAAGCAGCTCCAATTTCTTGTTTTAATTCAACATTAACTCTGCAACACCGAGAGTTTTTAACAAATAATTCATTACATTATAATCCGAGCAAAGGGCAAAAGAGAAAAAAAAAAAAAAAAAAGGAGTCGTGAAATAACTTTTCAGTTTGAACCTTTTCAGTTTGAACCTTGACAGATTCAGTTCTTAAAATCTCAATGGGACTTTTAAGCTCATTAAGCCTCAATGAAAAACCTGTAATATCTCAGCTTCTGATCCCGATTTCTCACCAACCTCACGCATTTCCTTTTGCTTCCTCCCAAAAACACAACCGAGACACAGCCACCATCGACATGCATGTGGATGACCTCAAGCCTCCAACAAATTCTTCAAGTGTTTCGTTGAAATCTGCCACTCATTTATGCTCGCTTATTTTTCCATCTCTTAGGGCATATGTTTTGTCCTCCTTTCGGGTAGTTAAGGTAAGGGGGACTTAAGCTAGATTCTTCACATTTCACTCAATTAGGAACAAAAGGGGATTTTATTTTGAGTTCCAATAAAATTCTGAAACGTTATTTAGATAGTTCTAAATGATTTCTAATGTGTTTATTTGTTAATTGCAGGGCGCTGAATTGGTTATCCAAGAAAGTTCCCCTCTATATTGTTGAAACGACCATTAATTTTTTGTATTTGTACACATTTGTAATATTATCATTGCAATTGAAATGTGCAGGTTATTGCCTTAAAAAGCCAATATTGTAAACGGAATGACAGTGCAAAAAATGGCAATTTCCCTAATTGAAAACATTGAAATGTCAACTAACGACAAGAAAAGTAAAAAAGATTTACCAAGAAACAATAATCTTTCAACTTCTTGTGAATCATGTACCACTGAGTCCTTCAAGCAAATTTGCATTAATATGTGCCAAGGCAAGCAGAGTTGCTGCAGCCAAACCAAGCTTAAAAGCACGAGCGTTTGGCTGTTGGCACTCAAAATCTTCTAAAATCTCCCATATGTTACGTGTCCTAATTTTCAAATTCGATGCTGCTTAAAGAATTACATGAAAATAAAGCAAAAGCTTTCAACCTCAATAAATCAAGTTGTCCGAGGAAGAAGATTATAAAAACGCTACAAGGTTTTGTTTTATGATATACTGTTGTTCTTCAGTTTTCATTGCTTTTTATTTATATTTTGCCAATATTCATTTTCCCACGTCTCAACTTGCCTCACGGAGTTAGTTTTCGTATCAAGAAATTCTCGGAGCTCTGTTGCATTATAAGGTGGAGGCATGGCACATGGAACTGTATCTCTGGGAGAAGTCACCAGGGATTCCTCCTTGAATTTCTTCCAATTTCCACTCTCATGACATGCCATTATTTCAGCACAAAGCATCGTGGCTCCACGGGGAACCTTTGGTTTGAATCTGAGGAGTTTTGCGTACTCGTTTAGTAAATGGAACATGTAATCGTAGATATAATCCATCTTCATATCCTCATGAATGAAGTTGGCAGCAGCCTTTCCGATGGCCTCTGCTTTCTCCGGATGAGTGTTGCCCCATTCAACGGCAAACTTAAGAGAAGTGCACTTGGAATTGTCTCTTATGGGCCAATAGTGCTGCAATGGCTGCATCCCTCTTATGAAGAAATCATGGTACCTAGATTTTATGTATAAGGTCATGGAGTCACATGCTAGAATGTATTTTTCACTCACGGACCATGCCCATCCTTCTGTATATATCTTATACCTGTTTGTCAAATTACAAAACTTTTAGTGCAACATCACAAATAAAATTAAAAAAACTTTAAGTGCAACATCAAAAATAAAATTAATGGGATTAGGGGCTATTTACACCCATTTTTGCAAAAAAATAGAATGATGCCATGTGTCATCCATGTTGACAAGAATTTCATTTGTTGAAAGCAGTTGGAGTAAATCTCTCTGGATAAAGTTGAGTGGTTATTTCCACAACTACAGTAAAGCCGTTCGTTTGTTGCGAACTTCCAAGAGGATAATCGGCAACACAAACAGACTAATCAGTTTGTTTCTGATATCATGCTGCCATTGGTTTTTCAAGATTGCTGCTGCAAATCTCCAAGCATGCTGCCAAGGGGTGTTTATTGCTATAAGTATGCAAAGAAGAAACGAAGTGAAGGGGGACCAGCCTCTTATACAACTAGCCCAGTGCTATCTACATTTTAGTTTTACAAGCAATATCTTAGTTTAGATCCAATTTCCTCAAACAGCTTTCCTAATTTAGTCTTTAGCTCTACGTTGCTATTAGCTTTAACTCTTATTTTTGTTATTTCGTTGTGAACATCTCCACCCGATATATTTAGTTTTTTTTGAAATTCAATTTGCTGCACTTTGCCCCAAATTTCATCTCTTCAGCTTCTTTTAAGTTTAGTTTTATGCTTCAGCTTCTATTTCGTTTTCTACGTTTTCATACTTTTGCAGCAGCATCACGCTTTCTCTTTGCAATTTAGTTTTCTCGCCATGCATTCTCTTTCTTCTCCTTTCCTTTATTTTCCTCTTTTATTTTAATCAACAAACTAACATTTCGGCCCTAGTTGTGGGAAGTCCCTGATGTTCTTCCAGGGCAATTATTTATGGAC